GCAAATTCCCCCTACAATTTCCCCGGCTATGCCCAACTGGGCAGTTCTTCTCTAGTATTCAGAAGCAAGGGGATGAATGGGAACCGGTGCCAAGGTGTCCAGATGTTCCGCCCTTGGCGGGACAGCCGCGATTCTTAACACTCTGTCCCGTGTCCCCTGGCGTTTTAAAAAAAGCCCCTCTTCTGGGGGGGATTACTTCAAACCCAGCACTAGGTGTCGCTGCAGCCTTCTCTGGGCTCCGCTCCGCCTCCGCGGGCGGTAGTTCGCGCACCCTTCTACAGTGGAGGCAGGGTTGGAGCTCCCCGGCTACCGTAGCAGAGGCGGGGCCGGAGCTCCCCGGCTGCCCTAGCGGAGGCGGGGCCGGAGCTCCCCGTCTGCCGTAGTGGAGGCGGGGCCGGAGCTCGCTGCCGCGGAACCCAGATCCCTTAGGCTATCCCCGCAAACTCTGACCTTTCCGTGGGTGACTGAAGATCTCCCCGGAATCCACGTGTCTGCGCAGCTCTGGGAGTCTCAGCTGCTCGATGGACCTCCGGGCTGTGCGTTTTCCACGCCTCAGAGAAGCTCTTTCCTTCCTGGCAAGACGATGCAGCCCTTCCTCCACGCCCGCAGCCCACCGCACGCTGCCTCCGCTGCCCCCGCCGCTGCTGCTGCTGCTGCTGCTGCTGCTGCTGCTGCTGCCGCGGCCGTCCTGGCCACTTGGTCAGGAAATCCTGTCCAGCGGACTCTCCCTTACCCTCCTTGAGAGCTCCGCTGTCCCTTAGCTGCCAATCAACTCTCCCTGAGCGACTCAGAAGCCCCCTTTATCCGTTCTGGGACCAGAGTCAGAATAGGTCCGACTGTTCGGTCGCCATCTTCAACGACACGTGGATTTTTATTTATCAAAGAAAAGTTGGCTAAATCCACCCCATTCCTGAAGATGTATCATAATAGTCAGCTGGATATTTGGAAAAATTTAAAAGACCAATTGGACTGTTTTCACACAGAGTTTTGGTGTCAGATAAATGGTGTGTGTGTGTGTGTGTGTGTGTGTGTGTGTGTGTGTGTGTATAGCAGTTATTGTAGAAAATATCAAAGTAAATGAGATTGATAATTAGTATGAGACTATTCAAAAATCCAAAATGGAAATATCCCATCTACTTCAAAATAATTGATAGAAATAGGTCAAAATACTTGGATAATAACCTGCTAATGTGATAATTATCCTATCTTGAATATTTTCATGAACAATTAGATAAAGTTCTACATTTAATTACATGTATTGCAAGTTGGATGTCATTCCTATCTTATATGCCACAAGTGAAAACTGGACTTTACTATAGTATCACCTGCCCTCCCTTTTTTTTTTTTTTTTTTCCCTTTTAAGTTTTTCTTCGAAGCCTGGATGTTTAAAATGAGTCCAAATGTGCTGCTTGGGATACAGAAGGTCTCAAATCCCCTGTAGATTTCTGACTGCAAACAAGTTCTGAAGCAACAGCCTCAGGAAAACAATGAGCAGCCTTCAGATCTTTTTGTAGATAAATGCAAAACATCCTATATAATAAAAGGCCAATATACAAATTGTCCCCTTGACCAGAAGTTCAACCAGGGGGTAGGGCCAGCCAGCCAATCACCCACCACCCCTCCCCCTGCCAGTCAGGACCCCGATCAGCACGCCCAACCCCAATCGGGGCTGGCCGGCTGCTCCCTCCCCGTGCACAAATTCAGGCACTGGGCCTCTAGTGTATCTATAAAAGTGGACTCTCCCTAAGAGGTGTACTCTCCACATTCCTTTGGGATGGGGAAAAGCTCTCTGAAAACGTCCCACATGGCCTCTCAGTGTATCCAAGGCCACCTGAAGGGCAGGCGTGTGGACAGTGACCCTCAGCAGGCCTGGGCCAGATTGAGAACACAATTCCCAGAAAAAGAAAACGCTCTGGAGGTACCTCCCTAGTGTGGGGTCCACTAGGATGTGTTCAGGAGGAGGTACAAGCTCCTGTGTGTGCCTTCCCTTGTTTAGAGCCACAGAGATATCCCCCTTGTGCATGAGATCACAGGCTGGGGAATTTACTGAAACTAGCACATCCCAGAAAATTGCTGAGAGTTTCTCTGGCCCTACTGCCAGGTTTGGGATACTGACAAGAAGTTCTTCCCTCACACCCATCTGAAGCCCTCCCAAATGAATCCCAGCACGTGGGAGCAGTGCAAACAGCAACGTCAGCAGTTCTGCATCACTGGATGGCCAGCTCATTTAGAATCACGTTCTCAATGGACAATTCAAGACACAAATCACACATGGCTGAGATCAGAGCAGAAACAGGCCAAATGCTCATTGCAGAAAGGAAACTTTCATTGTGCAGGAAACATGGAAACTCTACCTCATCCCAGAATTGTGTCTCTGAGAAATCTTGCATAAAATTATGGTTTCCTAAGATTTCACAGCAAATGTGTTTAAAAATATCAAGCATTGAATCAGATGTCTTTGCTCAGAGTAAAACTAATTAAGTAAAACTCATTAAGACTAGTCTAACAGCATATTTCATGTAAAAGGATCTTATGCTTTGTAAGCACTAATCAGCATAATGAAAATTCCCTGTCCAATATCCAGAGTATATGTACAAAATGCACAAATAAGCTAGTAAAACTATGTTAAATGTAAACACTCAAAACAAAGCTAAGCACCTAGTGCTTTTCCATCACCTTGGAATACACTGTTAGATACAGTTAAATAAAAGTTGGCGCTGTGAATTAGTAGATATTTTTCTTCTAGTTCCTATAAAGACATTAATTTTGACTTTCAGATGGAAACCTGACTTGTTCCCTCACCTTGGTCCACTTTCAGATCTGGGTAATTCTTTCTTGAGAGTCATGCAGGACAAGAACTGGGTTTTCAGACGGGATGGTGACCTTGAGCCCTGCTGAAGGTCATCAGTACTGGCATGCTCTTCCTCTCAGGTCCAGCTGAAAGAAAGATCTCTAACGTAATGTCACACGTGATCTATAGGACAATAGGTTAGAAGACCCTCCAGGATTTAGAGGGGACCAATGATTTGCCACTTTGTACTTGTAATCCACCAGACATTTTACCAGCTTCCCAGGTGAGTCCACTCAGACACAGAAGTGCAAAATACTTGATCCCGCGGGGATTGCGATCTTTTTCCCTGGCATTGCACACTCCTCAGTGCCAAACAGGCAGCATGCCAGAATCCGAGGAGAAAGGAACGCGCACTGCTCAAGAAAGGATACAGAACAGAGAAGTTTATTTTACACTATCTGTCCAAGAAAACAATTGCCATAAACCAGTGCAAAGTGTGCAACAGAATCATTGAGTGTGTCTTAGCTCTGAGAGCCCAAATTGGCGATCTCCTCTCCCGGGCCTCCATCAGGCAGGTGCCCCATTGGCTAAGGCTCACCTCCTTTCGCACCCTCGATAAGAGACGTTCAACCAATTTGTAGCAGGTTATTTTTACAATTCAGACCAGAATGTGTAGTACAAGGGACAGAGAAAACCATACCAAATGGATTATAAGTGATCAGTGCTTAACGTAAATATAGGGGGAAGCACGGGCAAGAGTCCACAGTTTCAATAAATACAGGTGTAACAAGCATGGGTGGGTCTCAACTGGTGGAATTAGTCTGCGTAATAATTCAGCATCATACGGAAACCTAGCAGGGCTGTTGAGCAGTGATTGGCAACAATGTTCACAATAACTTATGCCCTGGAGCTTGTCTGCATTTAGCACGTTCTGTGGCTTCAAAAATGTCAGTTCTGTTTTCTCCTTCCCTTGCCATCCCTTCCAGGAGGAGAAGGGTGGAGCCGGGCAGCTTGGCCACGGTGTCCTGGAGGAAGGACGCTGCCCAAGAGCCAGCTTGCAGGGTCCAGTGTACTCAGTACCAAGTGGCAAATCGGGGCTTGATTGACGATGTCTGTGCAAAGTGCGCTTCTCTCCATCCTCCAAGAAACCAGTGTCTGTAATTCCTGCACAAAAAGCAGTGGGTGGCCTCTGGGTCACTCGCTGTCACTCCAAAATGCCAAGCAATGACAACGCATCTCAGGGACTCACAGGTTTTGGGAAGCTTCTGCTGCTGACTGCCTGGTACCTCATGGATAGATGTTCAACCAGGGACCCTCTCCAAAGGCCTCAGGCAGGCTAGAACTATTGCTTAAAAGACTAGAGAGAACCTAGTGAGAAAGGGAAGGTCATAATGGACAGGTAGGAAGCTGCCTTCTTCCTCGGAAAACCCTGTGTTCCCCAGGGAATGCCTATGGGCCCGTGGGGGCACCCTTGGGTATGAAATGTCATGCGTCTTTCCCGGTGGCCTGGCTCAACGGTTCATTCTAACAGGCACTAGAGCCACACCTGCTCTAGCATGCTTGGGATTTGACCCCAAGACACAGCGGGGACAAACCTGTGGCTCCTCTACTAACCCAGAGCCCAGGGAGAGAGGATGCAAGAGAAGCTCTCGCTTGATTCTGGAAGAAAAGGGGCAGCAGGGAGAGCCCCTCCAAAGAGAAACAACTCCCCAAACCCAGAACCTAGGAATCACCTGAAAACATAACAGAACCCCATAACCAATGTACCCTCTCCTTGCTATCTCTTTGACAGTCTTGGGCCATAAATTAGGTTAGTCTTCCATCCAATAACTTAAAAAAAAAAAAAAAATAGAGGCGGGATTGTAATAAGTTTTGCCTGGCTTGGGCCAGTTAGCAGCCAGTTTTTCTAGAATCTCAGTCACTGTCAAAAATGGAGCTTGAAAATTCACATGGATATTGAAAAGTCTTCACACCGAGGAGGCAAGAAGGGTGGGCAAGAAAGGCTGGGTGGCAGGTAGGACCCCAGGAGGAGGAGGGGCGAGGGAGGGGGCAGAGGGCGCCTGGGCCACTGAGGCAGGAGCGAAGGCCTGTGAACAGCAAGGGAGAGACGGAAGCCCGGCCCTGGGGGCCCGTGTGACTCGGGTGGTGCGGCCGGGTCTTGTATTGCACAGAAGAGAAGGAACGGAGCCTCGGTGGGCGGCCCGGCAGATCAGTGTTCCCCGCACATGGGCAAGTTCACGAAGGTGAACACGTTGAACTCCGTCATGATGGAGAAGCACAGGAACACGCCGTACAGGAAGAGGCATCCGCAGCCCAGCTTCTTGTCCAGCTGCCACTTGTTCAGGTGAACGCCAAACACCTGCAACACACAGGGCGTCAGCGGGCAGCAGCCGAAGGGCCCCTGAATGGGGCACGGATTCTCTCCGGGCCCACAAAGTCCATCTTTCATATTGTGGAGCTTAAGGCCATCAGAATCAAGAAGAGGGGGAGTCAGGACCTGCTGGTTGTGGGAAAATCACTTGAAAAAGTCCTAAGCACAGGAGTAACAAAGATAGTCATAGCAGATCTCCTGCCCTGGACTCCAGCCCTGTACGGTTTGGTGCTGGCATCACAGTTCTGACACTTGACCCTTTTGTCCCACTAGGACCTCAGGGGCAGGGCGTGGCTGCATCTCTTCAAGTCACTGTGCCTGAAGCCAGGAAGAAGTCCCCCTTGCTCCTCATTGCTGCTTCCATTCCCTTTTCTTTATTCCTCCCGAAAAGCACTGGGCTTGGAAGCTAAAGTCTCCCGACAGTCACATTCTACCTTCCTCCTTGCAGTCAACCCTGGGCCCTCCTGGCACTCCTCAGGGCCCTAAGTCCCCCCTCACTGCCGCTCCTGTCATCGGCAGGCACCCTTGTTGTCCTTTAAGTGATTTATCTATCCACCAGGACGATCTTCCCAACACCAGGTCTCTTGAGTCCTTGTCTTCCACCCTATTTCAGCCTCTCACTCCCATGTCACACCCTGGACCTGTGATATACCCACTAGCCACACGTGGCCACCCGCATTTACATGTAAATCAGATACTGAGCTCCTCAGTTGCACTAGCCACATTTCAAGTGCTTAATGTCCACAGATGGCCCGTGATACAAGACATCTCTAGCACTGTGGAGAGTTTGTTGGACATCCCTGCTGCCTAGAGCTTGTCAAATATCCCACTTTAGTTTTTTAAAAATATGTTTTTAGTGATTTGAGAGACAGAGAGAGAGAGAGAGAGAGAGAGAGAGAGAGAGAGAGAGAGAGACATCAATGAGAGAGAAACATCAATATAGATTGGCTGCCTCCTGCACGACCCCCACTGGGGAATCCAGCCCCAAACTGGATATGCCTTTTGACTGGGAATTGAACCAGTGACCTCTTGATATATGGGTTGACACTCAACCATTGAACCATACCACCTGGGATCAAACCATTGAATCACAACATCTGGGATCAAACACTTCTTTCTCCTGACCATCTTCTGTCTTCCCCATTCTGGTACCACAACTACCTACAACTTTCAGAACCCACGACCCAGAATTCACTGAAACCATCACTGCTTCACTGTACTTCACTCTCCTGTCCGCTGTGCCCTCCTTACCCTCCTAAGTTCCTCCAGCAGTTGCTACAGTCATTCCTTGCATCTGCCTCCATTCTTTGGCCTATCTATAGCTTTTGTGGTCTTTGCTGGTTAAGCCACAGCCCTTTGGTTCATGCCAAAATTCCATGTACTCCACGCTGCCTCTTTGCAGCTGACCCAGGCTGGAGGAAAATGCTGGCCAGGCTGATGAGTCTCACTTTAAATTTAAGATCATTAATGCCTTCTGGCAATCATCCACATTTCCTAGCCCACCATCTCTCCCTTTCTTAGACAGCTATTTCAGGCCTCTCTTCTCTCTTTAAATGACCAACACTCCCTTCTCTACTCTCACTGTCAGCTCATGACATGGTTCCCATTTCACAGAGCTCCTATCACCACATCTACCTGCCCACCTTCCCTCTGTTAATGAAGACCCACAGCCCACAGTCCTGCCCACAGCCCTGTCCTCAGCCCATTCTTCCAAGTGGGCACGACATTTCTCCACCTCCTGGTACTGCTAAAGGTCATGGCACCAGCAATTGTCTCTCTTTCATCTCCACTCCCCAAACCCACCTTGATTATTCTAATTAGCATAAAAGAATGCTGCTATCTCTCTCAGCTACACTTTTCTGGGTTTCCATTTCTCTCCTTTCTTTACAGCAAGATAACTTGAAAGAGTTGTAAATACCAGCTGCCTCCAGTTCTTCTCCTTCCATTCTCCGTTAACTTATTCCACTCAGCCTTCTGCCCCACTGCTCTGCAAGCCACCATGTCAAGAGCACTGATGACTCTACATTTCTAACCCTAATGGCCAACTCGGGACTCCTCTCCCTCAACAGCACAGATCTCTCCACCGTGAAGCCCCTCCTCCACATGACTCCCCATTGCCACACTCCTCTGGTTTTCCTCTTATCTCTCTGAATGCTCTTTCTCTGTTTCTTTTGCAGTTTTAGCCTCATCATTCGTACTTGGGTTTTAGGGCTCTTCTCTTTCCTGTCTATGCCCACTCCCTTGGTGAACTCATCCAATCGCCTGGCTTTAAATACCATCTACATTCCGGTGTCACCAGCTTGGACATTTGTCCAGAACCCAGTCTCATCTTTCCAATGGCTTTCTTGGTCTCCCCACTTAGAGGTCAAATAAGAAATGCAAACTTAAGATGTTTAAAATTGCTCTTGTTTCCCAAACCTACTTCTCTTCCATCTTTTCACAGCCCCATTTGGATAGCCCAGCCAGCGGTTAGCCCGATCTCCTACAAATTGTACAACCTCAGCACGGTGTAAGGAGAAGAACTCTGCTACAAGCTTGCACTGTCAGACAGCTTGTTTCTCCAACATTTGGTGTCAACTTCTCTACTGTCATCAGTACAATGGAGCTGATATTAGCAACCAGCTCATGCGGATGTGGTGAGCTCCAAATGGGAAAACAGATGCAGAATAATAAACACCGTGTGTGGCGATTACAAGTATCACAACCCTAAGTCATTTGGCCTGAAGAACCTCTACACTACAAAAGAATAAATTATATAGATTTTCACTTTTGTGTAAGGAAGTATTTGCTCTGGCAAAACTTAGACATTTGACTCCCATCTTGATCCCATAGATTACCTCTCCTGCCTCCTGCCTGCCCTACTGAATTCCCATTCTCTAGCATATGTACATTCACATGCTAGGTATAACTCAGTTTATATTTCCTTGAAAATGTCAGGAAAAAATATAATGTGTCTCAATGTTTCATGTCAAAATTCAATAGCATATTTGTATGTTGCAGGATACTTCACGTGGGTCAGTCCATGTGTTGGTGCAAACTGTGTTGGTGCAGATTTGTTTGCACCAACGTGTCAGTTGAGATGGAATGTTAAATTATACAAAAAGATATAATGGCCAAGAAAGTAGATGGCAAAAAAGGGGAACTGTCAATAAAATATATTCTTAGTTGCTGATTACTGCTCAAACCCATGGATTTATGAAGATGTTTAGTAACCTGGAATCATTAATTAAAATATACTACTCTGTAACAAATTTTGCAGAAAAAGTGAGATCTCCCCTTTGGTTTTGATAAAACGATTTATGTTTGGCATGCCACATGGCCATGTTTCTGAGTGGAGGCTGCTTCCTTTCAGTAAGAGAGGGCTTTCTAGTGGGTTGCTAGGATCCACTTCTAGAAGAAACAGAAGAAGAAGAAGGAACATCTGGAGGCTGATTGTCCTGATCCACCAGGAGGTCCAGCCCATCTGGTGTCCAAACAAACTCTGTTGCCAAAGAACTGCAGGGGGTGGGAGCTGGGGGGGAGGGGAGGGGAGTAAGGGGGGGAGGGAAAACACAGAAGCTCAAAGTGAGGAGAGAACTGCAAACCTACTGTGACAAAGACGGAGGCCAGGAGCAAGCCCACGGAGTAGATCAGTCCCCTGCTGTTCAGCCGAATCTGTAGCAAAAGAATGAGACAGAATTAGCTCTCTGAAAAGTTACTTAACGTGGGGCACTCAAGCATCGCTGAGTGAGTCCAGTTTTCTCCTATAGGGGGCAAAACAAAAGGAGGCCTCCCCAGCCGTCCGTCCGCTACAGCTGGTGGGGCAGAATGTGAACTTTCCTAAAACACCCAGAGAACGCCCTGTCTGTCCACTCTCAGCCTGGTCCCATACTTCCCTCCAGCATGGTGGCTGTGGGCTGCCCCAGTTCTCCATGTGTGTTGCCTGATACTTGTCGCCCACAAGGCTTCCCTGTGGACTGCACCTCCAGGAGTTTCTTAACATGGGTGATGGGAGCAATGGTTTGGAAAAAAAAAAAAAAAAACTACTAAAGTTTTTATCTCTTTTACATTAAAATGTCTATGACCTTCGCCTCAATTTGATATGAAGACATGTGTGACGCCTGCTATCTAGAGCAAGCAAAGAGGAAAGAGTTAACATAAAAAGGATTTTGTTTGGTTTCTTTTTCACAGCCAAAAAAAAAAAAAAAAAAAAAAAAAAAATGGGGCTAACAGCCAAACCTTGAAGAAAAAGAAAGCAACAATTTTTGGAATGCTTATAGAACAGCGCTGTCCAGGAGAACTCTCTGCAAAGACAAAACGTCCTGCATCTGTGCTGTCTCGCCTAGCAGCCGTCAGGAGCATGTGGCTGTGAGCACTTACTTGCAAAGGAGCTCATGTAACCGAAGAACAACACATTTAAACTTACCTTGAATAAATTTAAATTTCCATCTAAAGAGCCACATGGGACTAATGGCTGTAGCGTTGGCAGAGCAGGTAGAGAATATTAAAGGGCCAACCCAGCCAACAAAGATCCTAGCTTTTCTTCCAGGGTGTAGAGAGGATACCTTCCTGCTCTGACCTAGATCAGTGGTCGGCAAACTGCGGCTCTTTGGCCCCTTGAGTGTGGCTCTTCCACAAAATATCACGGCCTGGGCGAGTCTATTTTGAAGAAGTGGTGTTAGAAGAAGTTTAAGTTAAAAAAAAAAAAGTTGGCCGAAGCCGGTTTGGCTCAGTGGTAGAGCGTCGGTCTGCGGACTGAAAGGTCCCAGGTTCGATTCCGGTCAAGGGCATGTACATTGGTTGAGGGCACATCCCCGGTAGGGGGTGTGCAAGAGGCAGCTGGTCGATGTTTCTCTCTCATCAACGTTTCTAGCTCTCTATCTCTCTCCCTTCCTCTCTGTAAAAAAATCAATAAAATATATTTTAAAAAAAAAGTTGGCTCTCAAAAGAAATTTCAATCATTGTACTGTTGATATTTGGCTCTGTTGACTAATGAGTTTGCCGACCACTGACCTAGGTCATGAGGTCGCTGCCCTGAAACCGGAGGCATGTCTTACCGCAGCTGTGCTCACAGGGTGCTCCCTGGACCAGCCGCACACCTGGGGGCTGGTTAGAAATGTAGGATCCTGGGCCCCAGCCGACCTCCTATCTCAGAAACTAGGAGGGTGGGGCCCACCGATCTGTGCTTTAACAAGCCCTCCAGGGATTTAAGAACCAATGACTTACAGAAAATACCGAGGCTAAATTTGCTTCTGGGGATGGGACTTGGACATTCATTTTTTCACCAGTTCCCTTGGGAAGTCTTATATGTATCCAGGTTTAGGGACCACAGCCTCCCTCCTCCCCACAATGTACACTGTCCTGCTGGGAGACAAAGGCTCACCTGTGTTCACAGAAAGAAAAATGAGGCAGGTTGATGGAAATTAGAGGATAAAGTGGGGATTATTAGGAGGAGTGTTTTGGGGTCTTTCGGACAAAGTTCAAGGTACCTCTTCCCACTCTTTTACCAGTTCAGCCCTGCGGTCTAGTATGGGAATAACGGGATGACTCCGTAAGTGGGTTTGCTTGGTTCATGATTGGTTTGTCTTTGGTGATAAGACACTACATCCTCATGCCCTAAACAGCCAACCCTTTCTTTTTTTATTTCTTTTTATGTCAGAGAGGAAGGAAGAGGGAGATAGAAACAATCAATGAGAGATAATCATTGATTAGCTGCCTCCTGCATGCCCCTACTGGGGATCAAGCCTGCAACCCAGGCATGTGTCCTGACTAGGAATGGAACTGTGACCTCCTGGTACATAAGTGGAAGCTCAACCACTGAGCTACCCCAACTGGGCCTTTCTGTGAGGACCCATGAGCATCTCCCTAAGGGACGTTCACAGAGGGAAGGGACCGGCTCTCTCCCTTGCCTGCACAGACTGTGTGAGCTAACCATCTGCTCGGGCCCAGCCACCAAATGCCTTCCTAAGAATCAAGGACTCAGATCTTAATCTCTGTGACACTAGAGCAATGGGTGGACACAGTGAATTCAGGGTGGAAAAATGAGGAATCAGCCACCACAGGCCAGCTGGTGGCTGAACTTCCGGCAGACCTTCAGCCAGGCTGTGGTTAGTTTCCTCATTCCATCAGCTGTGATGGAATGAAGAGGCTACTCAGCAGGAGCACATCACAAACGCTGTGCTGAAAGAGGGCCTCTGCCCCAAAGTAGTCTGTCCACAGTGACTCTGACAATCCCACATGTACCCTGGCCAGTATCAAAGGCGGGGGGTGGGGGGTGGGGAGAAGGGAGGTTCAGAGCAAGAAGGTGGCTCCACCTGGAGTGAGGAACAGCCCACCAGCGCTGTCCTCTGTCACAGGGTCCTTGGGTCCACCCGGAAACTGAACACACACTCAGAAACTCCTTTAGCAGCACATGGATTCTTCTAAGTATGGAGTCAATCCACTTCCAGCCCATGGCACCCTCTGAGCTTCAGGGTCGAATTCTTGTCAGCAACAGGAGTTGAGTAAAATGATTTCCTGCCCTTGGAAACCCAGAGCCAGTGACACCAAAGCCACGAGCAGAAAATTCTTTGGCAAAGCATTTTCAAAATGAATCACATTCAAGCACGGCTTTTGACCTTGACGTTTTCTACATTCACATGAAGTCAGTGCTGCTAACATTCTAAACATGGCTCTCAAGACCAAATACAACCAACTCTTGTGTGGTTTTGGACTATTCTCCACTGTTTCTCTGCAGCTTCCTTTGGTAAAGAGCCGCCCAGGGTTGTATTGTTTGTCATTCTTAATTAGAGACCCAGGTTCCTAAAGCCGGTATTGAGTCCTTTCTGTCTGACGCTCACACTTCCACAGGAAGGTGACTGTCAGGAATCAGGTTTCCTTCAGTTGCCTCTGGTCCAACTCAAAATCCTCCCAGCCACTGGAAGTTGTCGGTAGTTTGAGGCAGAAGTTGGCAAACTACGACCCATGGGCCAAATCTGGCCCATCGCCCGTTTTTATAAATAACATTTTATTGGCTCTCATCTCATCATTTACTAGTATTTACTGTTTACAGCCGCCTTCATGCTACAATGGCAGACTCCAGGAGTTGGGCAGAGACTGCACAACTCATGGCCTTAAAATATTTCCTCTCTGTCCCTTTCTGGAAATAGTCTGCAGACCCCAAGCTCAGGCCATGGGCAGCAGTCCCAGCGTCCTGGTGTCTGAGTCCCTCCCCAGTCACTCATGTACTGCACATGACTTCTTCAAGCCTCAGTGTAAAATGGGACAACACAGTTCCCACCTTATGGGGCGGTTGCAGGATTGACAGAATTAATCCAGGTTAAGCTTGAACAGAATCTGGTATAGAATAAATTCTTGCTAAGGGTGGGCCATTATTCTTCACTCACATAGGAACTGCCTGGGCCCACTTCCCTGGGACCCCTGGCAGCTCCATGGCGGAGATGACACACAAGGAGGGTGAGGACCATGTCTGACTATACTCTACCTGCCACAGGGCTGAACACAGACCACGTGCTTAACGCGTCATCAGTGACTGGATAATGGGTACTTTCCAGATGGCATCTTGATTGTGATTTACAAATGGGCCATCATTTCCATGGGGCAGGGTGGACTGGTCAGAGGGAGATTGGCAGCAGACAGGCCCTGGGCACCAGTCCTGATGTTCCAGAAACAATGCAATCCCTGCCCAGCATTCCCTGTCTCCTGGCCCCACTGGTTTATTCCAGGTATAGCTTTTTTGTTGTTGTTGCTCAGCATTTTATTATGAAAGTTTTCGATCATTCAACCAAGTTGAAAGATACTACCTTATTTTTTAATGAACTACAACGTAAGCTGCATGTGCTAGTACACTTCACTTCTAACCACTTCAATCGGCATCTGGTACGTGTTAAATAGGGGTCAATTGTGGTTCATGGGTCTTTTTCCACTTGGTGAAATTCACAAATCATAACTTCACCATTCAATGAGTTATGAGAAATGCATACACCCATGTAACCCAAACTATATCCATGATTTCCAACACTTCCATCCTGCCCCACCCCCACCCCACCCCCGCCGGGAAAATCCTCATGTGCCCTCTGCCTCAGCCAGGAGCGGTCACTACTCTAAGCAGCTCTCCCATAGGCTGGCTTAGCCTGCCCTAGAAACTTCAAATGAATGCTGTGCACTCTTTTATGCCTGGATTCTCTTAAAGAGTCTCTCATGGTTTTCATCGCAGCAATAGCTCATTTCTTGTCAGAAAACAAACTAGTAAATATACCTCAGTGTGTTTAACTACTCTCTGGTTGATGGACATCTGGGTGGCTTCCAGCTTTGGGCTATCAGCAAGTATTGACTTGATAACTTACAGACAAAATGAAAAGAGATTTATAAAGGCTCCTTTGCACAAGTAGGAGAACTATTTATTTTTGTTTTTATTTTTTTTAAATATATTTTTTATTGATTTTTTTATAGAGAGGAAAAGAGAGAGGGATAGAGAGTTAGAAACATCGTTGAGAGAGAGACATCGATCAGCTGCCTCTTGCACACTCCCTACTGGTACATGCCCTTGAACGGAATCAAACCTGGAACCTTTCAGTCCACAGCCGATGCTCTATCCACTGAGCCAAACTGGTTTTGGCTGGAGAACTATTAATGAAGAGAATAAGGACAGCTGGGGACTCTGCTGAGACCCCTGA